ATATTTAATAGTCGATCAACTTTGACTATTGCAATATTGTATTGTCTGGAGTCAATTTAACGACAATCCATCTTCAATTTTCAGAACATATTTAATATTTTAAATTTAATATTTTAAAAACTCGATGTATTTTAAACTTCTGTAATCTCTAAAATATTTAAAAATCTCTGTTATTCTCTGATTCGAATAATATAGAAATGATCAAAAAATTTTCATTATAATTTCGACTCAGTGTTCCAATATAATTTCGATTTCAATGTTCTGAATTCACTGTATTAACTAATATATTATTAAAATACAAAAAAAAAATGAGAAACGAATATGCTTGAATGAAGCGCTGCATGTATTATCATCGAAGAACAAACCTATATATTTATATGTATTTTTTAGAAACGAGATAAATTGATATACTTATAACTACAATCGGAAACAAGACCGTCAATTTTTACAGTGTTTTAATCTATATAAGATAATAATTAGCATCATATGCGAGGTCAGCTAAATTTGTCCGTCAATCTTGGATCAGTTTCTTACATAGAAAAAGACGTATAAACACGGATTGCGGATATAAATAATTGCGCAATCGCAATCTCTGAATAAAAGTTTTCGTGTTTACGCGAGACGGTGCTTGGTCTCGCCTGTGTTCGGATCTACAATGACTTTTTCCTTAACAGCCTTCATCGTCGAAGAAGTACTTAGAGAAACAGAATTTATCGATTCGGCAAGCGGCAGAAATCTACCATCGGCGCATTCTTTAAATAATAATTCTTTCAATCGTTGACCACTCTTCTCGTCCTTGTTGTTCACATGTATCTTTTCCATCGTCAACGTCAACAATTCGACAATAAGATAGGATTCGGGCTTGTATAATCTCGTGAAATGGAGTCTAACATGCTCACCAATGTTCTCATCTTTTCGCGGAATGTAGTCACAATGAGGGCATGGCGGAGTCATACGCTCGATGCCATGGCGACGTTTATGTGCGTCCATGACATCCTTGTCGGTGGTGGAGAACGGACAACTTTGACAACGGATCGTCTCCGCATCGGTTTCACCCGTTGATGGAATAATGCCTTTCTTTTGCATCAACAACACGCTTTGCTTATCCTGATTGGATGTCTGTAAGGTAGCGTTGTTATTAACGTTGGACGCGTTAGCGGCAGGCAACATCGCGAGCGCGCTACCAACAGCAGCGGATGATCGCGACGATTTACGTGACGAAACTGATGCGGATATATCGGCGATGCTATCGCTATCCACCGAGATCCGATCATCTTCGAATTGTCTCCGCGACGCTTGAGCTTCCGCATTCGCTTGATGCTTCTTCAGATGCTGTATGTAATTCGCATAGTATTTGACCGAATAGTCGCACGTATCGCAACGATAGCGCTGTTTGGCGCCGTGCAAAGTCAGATGAACTCTATATTGTTCACGCTTTTCGAAAGCGGACGGACATTTGTGGCACTTGTAACGTTTTTCCTTTAGACGACCATTCCGTAAGTAACCTGGATAAACAAAATTTGGATTGCCGCGCATAAAGATACCGAATTGTGGATCAGGTGGCGACTGAATTGGTGATCCCGGGGAGGATGTTAAGGTGCGGTCAGCAGCGGAAGCGGCAGCGGCTGTAGATGATTCCGCAACCGCTTCACCAGTTTCACCGTGCCGTCGATGAACAACCTGATGCTTTAACAGATTTTGTGCTGTTTTCGACGAGTAGTCACAATCGTTACATTTGAATCGGTTATTTGAGCCATGCAGCGTCATGTGATACTCTAGGGCATCGAGTTTGAAATATCGTGCTGGACACTTAGCGCATGTAAACACTTGATTCCCAGTTCTTTGAACAGTTGAAGAGGCATTATTAACATTGTTATAAGAATTGTTTGAATTCTCATTGATTTCAACAACGATCCATGCAACATTTGATGTGTTGTCATTGCTCTCCCGATTCTCTGTTTCGACGCACGCTGTAGCAGGCGGTGGGTAACGTTGCGAGTGACCATATAAAGACAACAGATACTTGGTGCGTTCTTGATACTCTGTCGAATGTGCCTTCTGATGAGCTAGCAGATGGGATGGTTGCCGTGCTGCATATGAACACCATTGGCACGAATACGCCAGTTCTGTTGTGTGGTATCGCAAGTGAATGCGCAACTCTTTTTCACACAGGAACCGTGCCGGGCATTTGTCACAGCAGTGTACCAAACGTGAGTCTCGAAGATCGGGCTCGGTGCCTAGTACCGGAGTGTGTGTCATACCAAGCAGGGTAGCTAGGTCGCTCACCTGTTGAGAGTCAGGTCGCGTTTCATCCACAAGACAGTGAACAGTACCCAGAGATCCCGCGTGCATTTCTGTGTGCGCAATCATAACTTCTCGACGCGAACAAGTAAAGCTACAGTCTGTACAGGCGATTAGGGGGCCCTGAGTTGGAACGTCAACGTGCATCGTCTCGTGATCGCGCACTTCGGCACGTCGTGACGAGATATAGGGACAATGACGACACTTGAGCATTTTCGTCAAGGTACCATCTAACCGCGATACCCAAACCAGTGGAGCGTCCGGAAGAGCCCGGGTATCCAGAAGAAGTGACGGTGGTGGTGGTGGTGGTGGTGGTGGTTGAGTCTTTGAAGCCATCGTTGCGTTGTTACGCGATGTTATCTGAATTACTTGTTCTATAGATGATTCATCCTTTGCTCGAGAACCACCTGTAACAAACGCTTTGAATTGCAACGAATATCCAGTATATGAATTGTATAAATGTACGAAGTTTTGTGTTGTATAATTTATAAAAACTTACTTCCTTCAGAAATTGACACTTGTTGTAATTTACTCTTGGAATTTGGTGACGAACATTCCATATTCTGCTGATGCATAGCTGCTAGCTCTTCCCCATGAAGTCTAGCGTGATCCAACAGTTCTCTGAAGCACGATAAATAGACAATTACAATATATGTTGTGTTACTCTACTAAGTCTTTGTACTATATTGTGGTCTCTTAGTACTGATAAAAATCAGAATGTATCAGAAAATTAATGATAAGCAAAGGAGCAGAAATAATATTTATAAAATGAATAATATAAATAGTACGAATGTACATAAACAGTTCAACTTAAAAATTAAATCCTCAGTGCATAGCCATTATAAAATTAAAATAATATTGTTTATTTAATCTTATAAATATCTCATAGATATTTAACACATAAACTTGATTTTTATATGCTTCTTTGTTCATTACGTTTATTTATAAATAATTCTGTTTTCAGAAAATTTTTTAATATTACAAAAAGAAATAATTGATTATATATGAGATCAATCATGGATTAAAAAGAATGGAGCGTTCATGTTAATAAAGCAAGTTACCAGCGACACATACGCCTTTGTACTAACGTAGTATGGACAAAGATAGCATTTAAATATAGCTTCTAAATTCGGCCGATGGTTCATCCTGTGAAGGGACAGAGTAGCAGCATCCGATGCTGAAAACGGACAGTCCTCACAACCAAATGGATTCTATAGAAAATGAAATAGTGCATTAAATTAAAATAGATTGGATATAAAGTTTAGAAGCAAGAGAAAGAGCTCATGTTTTACATAAAAAAGAATTTGTTACAATTGTACATCTAATAATTGTGAATCCTTTACTATATCTTTAGTCTGAGCTGTTGGCTATAATTGATAACTATTTTTATTTATCTCAATCTTTTTACAACTTTTCATTTAACTTCTGTTATCTATAGGTAAACGCGAGACGGCTTCGACCATTGCAATAAGTTAAGTATAACACATAGAACTTACCCTTTCTTCAATAGACTCTTGATCAACAGATTCATAGTGAGATTTAACATGCAATAGTACATTATCTTTGTTGAAATCTCGGTAATTGCAACGTTTACATTTCCACTGAGTGCGTTTCTCATCTATCGCGGATATAGAAGATATCGGAGATATAGAAACCGCACCACCGCCGCTAGGAGTTTGTATGTGCATCGTGATAGGACTATTCTTCAATAAAGATTGTCCACGACTTCTAATCGCTGCTTTGAGCGGCGGTGGAGGTCGCAGACTCACGTCCACATTATGATTATTTTGATTTGCCTCGTTCGATGGTAAAATTGTAACGGGAGATTGTGACGTTGGACCAGTTGCTGAAGTATACTCCTTATTGCCTACAATCAACAATTTTGTCGACAATTCTTCAGAGTTCGTTTCTTCTATGCTACGTTGCTCCATACGATCTTCATCCCACGATTGATGTTCTACCTGAAACAGAAGATATTATGCCATGTAAACAGAATTTCACGATAAAATGTATTAGACGAAATATTGAATGTTATGAAATATGTTTAAATCAAACTATATCGTCAAAAATTTTGTATCGCATTCATGATAAATCGACGTACATCTCGTTCAATTTACACAGAACTTTTGGAAACATCGATCGAACTTTCGTTAGGAAAGATAGGATCGATAGTTCCTATTAATTACTAAGAATATGCTTACAGTAAGTGTCACAATAGTGATCAAGCGTCCGAGCGCTATTGCCAAATTGTGGTGCCAAGATTCTTTCATCGTACATCCTTTTGCAAGGCAATTATCGGCTCGTTAAACTATTACATTGATATGCGAGATAAGAATGAATTATTATGTAACTGAGAGTCATTATTTCACCTGTGCGAGATATTTGTTATATTTGGAATAATTCCGTCGACCTGTCTCATCCGTCATGAGCACTCTGGCGCTCGTATGCACTGCGTCTTTAGCCGCTTTAAGCTTAATATGTTTTGTGATGTCCCATCGCCAGTTAGAACGATACGCGCACATTGAACACTCGAACGGCTTCCGGTTTAAATGACCGACTATATGTACGTGAAAGCGACTTGCGGTGGAAGCCCAAAATGGACAATGGGGACATTTGAATACCCGTCGCCCGCTCGGATGTGTCGAACCACCTTCAAACTGATAAAAGTTTTTCGTAATAAATAGAGGACTGTCAGTAAGAAACTAGAAGTGAACTAGTAACAAATTAGAAAGAGAAATGCTCGACATCCACTATGCAATATGTAAAGCACATTCTTAATAATAAAAAAAAAAAAAAAAACAACGAAGCTCGTTCCAGTTTCTAATCAACGCTCACCACCATTTCGTGATATACATAGAGAGCTTCTTTATGCATACTACAAAATATCTTGTACTAAAACTAACAATAACAACGACAGCAACATTTGTAAATCGTCAACTATTTTACAGAAACGAGAAATTATAAAACATACAGCTGAAATAGAAGAATATCCACATAGCAATGAGAATATACTTCAGAAAATTAAATAAAATGCAACAATTTTCCAAATCCCGCTTGCTTTATACAAACTTCACGATGATCTTCGCTGAGAGCCGAAGTTTTGCGAGTGACTTTCTTAATGTATATACTTAAATCACTATTGCTAAGCATCGTACCGAAGATCCAGAAGAATTTAGTCCTCTGAGATTCGCATCCCAATCCGTTTGCGATGAAAACGGAGAGTATTCGTCACGGTACGAAGTCATGCGGATATCCGAACGATTTGTTACTTTCTCTAAACTACTACTGATGGACGACGTTGTGTCGTTGCGCGAATGGCAGGATTGCATATGCATTTGAAGATCAGTCGTACTCTTGCAACGTCTTCTACACTTAGGGCAACGAGTCGTACCCATGGACACGCTGAGCGCAGTGTGGTGTGTCTGTTTGTGGCAGGCCAGCTCTTCCATGCTACTAGCTTTAAACGTACACCAGCATTTCAAGTCGTTCTCACTACTTACGGCTACCTCCGGCACGCCGTTATTAATCGACGTCGCTGTCGTTGTTAGTTTCTCTTTCAATTTATCGAAAAAGGAGGCATTCTTTCTCTCAAATATTCCAGCCGCGGTATTGAGATTCCTCTTCGAATTCGCAGCCTGAAAACGGATGACAATATATGTGCGATGTGTTTCACACTATATATGTTAAGAACAACAAAACTTGTTTCAACTAACCTCTTTATTCCCATACATTTTAGCTAATTCTGTATCTCTTGCAATTTGCGCCAGCTCAGGTCTTACTCTGACACGCGGAACCTTCAATAGAGTCGTAGGTGGTCCATTGCTCATACCACTGAACGTATTATTGGACTTTGGTGTACTCGCTAGGCTTAGTGGAATTAACATTGGCAGTGGTTTTCTCGGCTTCGAAGGAACAACCGAAGAATGGGATTCCGCTAAGTGACGCTGCATCTCGGAGTCCCAGGCTGTTATAAATTGGCAACCTTTTTCCTCGCATTTTAATGCAATACACTCCGCGTTAGCCAGGGCGCTTTTCTTATCGTCTATCGAAATTAATGAGTGATCTGATACAAAGGAATCAGTAGAACCAGCCGACGTGGTTGTGCTTCCGGTTTTACTTAATGCTTCTCGAAAATCACTGGCTCCAACCTAGCGGACATTAGATATATTATATAATGTGATTAATTGATATATTCTAACGAACGACATTGCAATTATACACATTCTCATAATACCTGATTGTAACGTTTTGGACTATTTCGTGGCTTACGTTCGAAAGCGTTATTACTTTTGCGGTTGACCTGACCCACAGGTGGGTCATGATGATACGACTCATGCACCGTTAAGCTCTGACGGATATCAGCAGTAAAATTACATGCACGACATTTGAAAGCACCTCCACCTCCATGATTCCGCATGTGTCTTTCTAGATTCCACTGAAAAACAGCGTTAAAGACATACATATAATCTATATAATTTCAAAGTGTAATCGCAAGCTTCTTTGAGCCCCTGGAAAATTTTCTGATGTGTTTAATCACATATCGCTGGGAAACCAAGTAGTATGAGGAACAAACCTTATACGCTGAACTAAAATCACAAGCATCGCACTTGATCATCGGCATAGAATGATATTTAACATGCTTAGTATAACGCGCTCTGATGTGGGTCACGTAATCGCATTTTGCGCATCGAAAGAATTTTCTTTTCAAATGATGCAGTCTTTGGTGATTTTCAAGATCTTTCACGTTCAATGCGACATACGAACACGCAGGGCAATGATTTTCGACTGGACTGTGCCCGTTTTTGCCCTAAAAATTACAATAAAACATATTCCTGCGACCTATGAGTATGTCTTTATATGATTGTTGTACTTCGTTCGACTATATGAAAATTGCGACCGCAAAATAACGCAGAACGATATAACACTGCATCTCTCAAGCGGAAGTTATCACGCGTCATCGGATCACTATCCGTTTTTAAAACGGAACTCGTGTCTCTAAGCTCGTCATATTTTCCGTTTTAAAAACGGCCGTATTTTTTTTTTTTGTAAGGGGAGAAAGAAGAGAAAAGAGAGAACA